CCTTGCAAACTTCGCATTCTTTAATGTGTGCGCCTACGTCGGCTACCATCCCTGGCCAGTAATACTTTTCGCGCAGTCGCGCCAAGGTTTTGTGGATACCGCCATGGCCTACAGAGGGTGAGCCGTGAGAAGACTCTACCATCCCCGGTCGCAACTCCGACGGAACCCAAAGCTTCCAGGTTTGGTCCACTTGAAGGTCGTCGCCCCTGTCAAACTGTGTTCGTCGGTACACGTAGCCATCCGATATGCACAGGTCAGGCAGTCTGTCTTGATTTTCAGCCACAGTCTTTTTCAATTCCTTATACTCTTCTGACTCGAAATATGGAGATTCCAGGCACAAGTCGGTTACCCGGTCGCTTAGCTTTATTTCGTCCATATTCATTCTTGACAGTGTATCTGGTACGACGTTCTGAGCCCCCTTTCGGTGCTGGATATCGAAATCGAAACCCTGAAGCTTCAGACTCCATCTTGCTAACCTACCAGATAAATCCTTCTGCAGCATGAGCCATTTCAGGCTAGCATGGTCGGTAATAATGGTGAATGGGAGTCCTTCCACGTATGGCCTGAATCTTTTTACACTCAAGACTGCAGCGTAACATTCGAGCTCAGTGATGCTATAGTTCTTTTGTGCTTTGTTGAGTTTGGCTGAAATATATGCGATCGGTCGTTCGTTGTTGTCATCGTCTAATTGAAACAAAACCCCACCCACTCCGTTTGTCGATGCGTCATATTGAATATAAAACCGTCTGTTAAAGTCCGGATGTGTCAGTACGGGCGCCGATATCAAACTTTGTTTGAGCTTCTCAAAGGAAGCTTTGGCTTCGTCAGTCATCGCAAACTTTTTGATTTTGTCTTTTGAGAGGCAGTCGTGCAGCGGTGCTGCAATGGTCGCATAATCCTGAATAAAACGACGGTACCAACCTGACATGCCTAGGAACCGTCGGAGCTGCTTTGGGGTTTTAGGTTCGGGAAAGTCCCTCACAGCTGCCACCTTATTGGCATCCATCCTTATGCACCCATCACCGACTACGTAGCCGAGATATCGCACCTCTTTATAACAGAACTTACTTTTTTCTATATTTATTGTCAATTTCGCCTCGCGCAAACACTGAGCGACCTTTTCAAGCAAACATATATGAGACGAGAAATCTTCCGAACACACTAACAGATCGTCAAGATAAACAAATACACATTCACGCAATGAAGCAGGTATGACCTTGTCCATCAAGCGACACATTCTTTGTGCTGCGTTGCACAACCCAAAAGGCATGACTGTGAACTGATATAAAGGTCGACCTGGCACAGTAAACGCCGTCTTTTCTCTTGATTTCTTTTCTAATGGAATCTGCCAGAACGCGTCCTTTAGATCAATAGCTGAGATGAACCTGGTATTCTGGAGTCTGCTGAGAATTCCGTCGATATGTGGGAGTGGGTACGCGTCTTTGATCGTCCTCTCATTCACCTTGCGAGCGTCCAAACAGAGACGGTTTTTTGTGCCTTTTATTACCAATGAGACCGGTGAACTCCAACTACTGTTGGACTCCTCAATGACTCCCATACTCAGCATCCGGTCAAGCTCGGAATAGACTAATTTTTTGATAGCGGGCGAAATGGGATAGTGACGCTGTTTTACTGGCAGATTCTCGTTAGTTACCTCAATGACGTCTTCTTCTACTTCTGTGCGACCCAGCCCTAACACCGCAAATGAGGGGAAATGCAACTTCACCCTTTCTAACGCGTTCGTCTGTTCTGCTGTCAGTACGTGCTGCACGGCCTCAAATGACAGGTCACCTTCGCCAGACACGAGCTCTGCTACGGTTGGACTATTCACACTCGCACTCACTCCCCTGCTAACAACACTCATACCGAAAGCTTGCCAAAAGTCGACACCTAAGTACACTTCTTGCTGGAGGCCTGGAACAATCAAAAACTCTACGTCTTTTGTTGTATTGTCCCAGAGGACTGGCAACGTTATAACCCCTACTACCGCGGTTTCACCCCCATTCGCAGTTTTACCATTTTGTCCCTTGATTGGCAATATCAGGTCCTCTTTACCACATAGGAGCGCGCTTGAATTCGTCCCCAAGCAGCTTGCACCTGCTCCAGAATCTAGGAGCGCTAGCACTTCATGCCCGCCAATTTTAGTTTTAGCGAAAAACCTGTTGTCTCCTTTCAACGTAACAGTTGTCGATACTATCTTGTTGTATATTCTTTTGAAATTCCTCTGCTTAGCCCTCATCTTTTGGATTTTCTTATAATTCCTAGATTTCTTCTTATTCACTATCTCCTCACAAAAAATTCGCCTACGAGCCTCTTCATATTCAAGCTTTCTCTGATGCAAACTTTTCATTTCCCGTTTTACTCCTACTTCTAGCACTTTCTTAAGTATATCTGTTTTTTCATTCTTCAATATCTTCATTGCTTTATTTCCGGGTCTCTCTCGTCCTGGCAAGAGCTCCCGGAGATCTCCGCCAGCTTGAGGTTTCCCTTATCATTTTTATAAACACACTTAGTTTCTCTCTGGGCCTCCGCCGGGTTCTTCACAAAGTGGTCCACCGGCATGCCGCAGGAGAAACATAACATCAAGTGGAATGGGGAAGGACAAAAGGAGCTCACAGTGGACTTTGACACGTTAGGACTAACAGACGAAGACGGATTATCTCTAGGCTGTACTGGTGTGGGCTGCAGAGGTTTCTTCAACTGATTCCTATTAAATGCTTCTACACTAGCTTCTACTTTTAGTTCGATGGGTTCCAGATCTATCTCATTTATAACTTTGGGCCTGTTCCTATTTTCTTTTATAACCTTCTCTGCTCTTTTGCATTCAGCTTTAAGTTCTGCCAGGGTCTCCATTTTTGAAGCAAATGTCAAGTTTGCCAAATATGGCTTGAGGTTGCCCCTGATAATGCCAACCAGTTCCTTCTCAAGGATTTTCTTTCGAAGTCGGAATGTGAGATTATGAATTTCACCATAAAATTCTTCAAAGTTCTCTTGAGGTTGCTGCTTTCGCTCCATTATCTCACGGATTATTTCATAATCTGACTCGGCGGTCTTGAAGTGGCTCAGCATCTCGGACTTCAGTTCAAAATAACCGAATTCTGGATTCTCTGCATTGTCCTCGAGTACCTGCCAATACCACCTCAAGGCCCCGCCGGTCATCAGGCAATGAAAATCCGTGAAAAGTTGG